AGAACTCTTTGACCCAAATATTTAATATTAATAATATTTAAGATGCTCATATTATATATCATTCTTTTACATTTATATTTATTTAATAATTTAAAATTAACAATAATTAATAATAAATAATAAATATCGCACCCAAGGAAATGTGGGTTCTAACTGAAACATAAAATTAGACGAAATCTTTATTATTAATGACTGTAACTTTGTTCAAATCCAGTACTGAAACAATGGCACATATGCAGCATAAAACACCCCTACGGGTGCCCTGGGTGGCTCAGTCGACTGGGTGTCGGACTTCAGCTCAGATCATGATCTCATTGTTCATGGGTTCAAGCCCCATGTCAGGCTCTGTGCTGACAGTTCAGAGCCTGGGGCCTGCTTCAGATCCTGTGTTTCTCTGTCTCTGTCCCTCTTACACTCACGGTCTCTGTTTCTCTCTCAAAATGAATGAATTTTAGAAACCATTTTTAAAAATACCTAAAATCAAATACATGAAGTCATTGCAGACGTTTGTGTGTATCTATATTTATTGACAGAGAAGAACGACACAAGATAATGTTGAAAAACGAAAAACAAAACAAAACAAAACCCAAATGGCAGAGCAATTCATGTAAATATATTTTTCAAACACGTGTGTGTATATATTTGCTTGGGGGAAATAGCGAGACAGAGTTACATGATATGCATATAGTAGCATCTATCTCTGCATGACAGGATTTCAAGTTTTATTTTTTAAAGGTTTATCAGTATATTCTGGCCTTTTCTTTTTTTTTAATAGTTTATTGTCAACTTGGTTTCCATTTAACACCCAGTGCTCATCCCCACAAGTGCCCTCCTCCATGCCCATCACCCCCCTTCCCCTCCCCCCCATACCCATTAGTCCTCAGTTTGTTCTCAGCATTCAAGAGTCTGTCATGGTTTGCCTCCCTCCCTCTCCTCCCCTCTTTCCCCCCTTCTTCTCCCCCACGGTCCTTCGTTAAGTTCCTCCTAATCCTCCTATATGTGCAAACATTTGGTAGCCATCCTTCTCTGCCTGACTTATTTCACTCAGTGTAACACCCTCAAGGTCCATCCATGTTACTACACATGGCCAGATTTCATTGTTTCTCATTGCCATGTAGTATTCCATGGTATAGATAAACCACATCTTCTTGATCCATTCGTCTGTTGATGGACACTTAGGCTCTTTCCATGTTTTAGCTATTGT